TTCTGTCGCTTATGAAGTCGTGAGGCCATTCGTTTGCTTCGTGGCGTAAGAAGGTAGGTCCATACAACCATTCATCTTGGAGGGCCGGGAATTTATAGTTTTCTCTCGTTGCAATATCAGCGACGTTTAATTTAGTGGGAACATAACGCCATTCTTTTATCTTTGTTAACTCATCAATTTCACCCAAACGATTTGCCACATAAACTTTATAGTCGCGAGCGTCATTTCTTATCCATTGCAGCACTGTCGTCGAGTCGCTCCAAAATATTCGTTGTTCAGGCTTTATAATATGTTCTCTAGTGACTGAGTCCGCTAGTCTTGCCGCTAAGACGGCGGCTTGAAGTTCCAAACGTGGGATGGTAATAGGTTTGTTTCCTGCAACTCGAGATTTGCTCGCAATGAATGCTACGCGTATGTTAAACTCGTCGTCAATCCATCTCCAGTACGCGACGGCGCAGTATGCTTTGTTAGACGCATCACAAAATATATGCATCTGCAAGTTTCTATATCCAGTTCTAGTTAAAACTCCACTGCAATCTTCTCCACAATTATTATTGTAGCTGTGCGATGCAGTATTCGTAGCGGATTCGGCGTGTGCTACGCTCGTAGCATTATTCGTAGCCGTAGTCCTAGAAATCGTGATGTGTGAGGATGACAGCGGAAGGGTTTCATTATTCGTCTCATTCACTCGTATGGTAGCAGCCGGATAGTACCTCGGCAAACTCACGTTTTTTAATGATTTCAGAAGATAAATCCATTTCGACCATTTTTGGAATACCGTTTCGGTTATGTAATCATCCCAGCTTATTTTAGATTTCCAAATTTCTTGTAGCATAATTTTTCCATTTATGGTGAACGGCGCTAGAATGCCATAAACGTCAAAAATGGACATAATCACGCGTAACATTTCTCTCTTGGTAGGCTTTTGAGTTCCGTTTATAATAGTTTCGGGTATCCGCTTGAAAGACACGTCGAATCTGAGAGTATCATCATTTGGATGCCAAATCAATCCAAGCGTGCGTTCGCCTTCATACAGTTCACCTGTATTAAATTTAACAGCTGCTTCGCCCAATAAATCTTTAGGTAGGCTCGCGAGTATTTTTTTACTATTACTCGTCCAATTCCGCATCTGGAACCCGCCTTGCTTGTGAATAAACATAATGTTGTCAATTAATTGTATTGCGGCTTCCTCGTTAGGTAGACTATCTATATAATCGTCCATATAGTGACTTCTATATATGGCGGAAGCAGCAGCGGGCATTGATGACTCATACCGCTGAGCGTTTTTATTTTTTACAAACTGAGCTATAAATGGCGAACAATTAGCACCAAAAATTAATGACGTCATAACGTAAGTGTTTATATTTCCCTCCGGTTCTTCTCTAT